CTCCTTTCGTACGACAGCTTTTCCATTCCTCTGATCATCCTAGTGGCCCTTCTCTGCACCCGTTCCAGTTTGAGTTCATCTTTTTTAAACATGGGAGACCAGCTAAGTGGAAAAGGTTCACTTGCTGGTGTGCCCAGCAGCACACACCTCCATTCCAGGCGCCTATACCACTTATTCTAGAGTACCTTTTGCACCGAAACACCAAGGCCTGGCAGCGTCGTCCATCAAGGTACATCTTGGTGCTATTTCGGCCTTTCACTCTGGAGTGTCCAGGCACTCCGTATTCGCCAACCCCATGGTAGGACGTTTCCTCAAGGGTCTGGAATGGCTGCATCCTCAAATTAGACAACCTGTTCCTGCGTGGGACTTTAACCTGATCCTCGCCAGGCTCATGGGGCCTCCTTTTGAACCTCTGATGACTTGCTCACTCCTCTACCTCTCATGGAAGGTAGCTTTCCTGGTCACCATTACATCAGCTAGGAGGGTGTCGGAGTTAAAGGTCCTTACCTCCAGTCCACCCTACATAGTCTTGCACAAGGATAAGGTACAACTCAGGCCTCACCCAGCCTTTTTTCCCAAGATAGTGTCACACTTCCATACTAGCCAAGACATTTTTCTACCTGTCTTCTATCCTAAGCCTCATCCCAGTAGTCGAGAGCAGAGGCTGCACTCATTAGGTGTTCGGTGGGCGCTAGCATTCTCCATCGAGCGCATGAAACCGTTCAGGCAGTCGAACCAGCTGTTTGTGGTGGTAGCAGACTGGATGAAAGAGCTCCCAGTCTCATCTTGAAGAATATCTTCTTGGATCATGGCATGCATCTGCACATGTTACGAATTGGCCAATATCCCAGCCCCGGCACTTACAGCACATTCCACAAGGGCACAGGCCTCGTCAACTGCGTTCCTGGCTCAGGTCCTGATACAAGAAATTTTCAGGGCAGCAACTTGGTCCTCGGTGCATACGTTCACCTCTCATTATGCTATCACCCAGCATGCCAGAGATGTTGCAGCATTTGGCAGAGCAGTGCTCCAATCAGCGATTCCTTAACTCTGACCCCACCTCCGGGGTGGAGCTTGGTACTCACCTGATTGGAACTGACATGAACAAGCACTCGAAGAAAAACGGTTACTCATCTTCTCGTAACTGTTGTTCCGAGATGTGGTGTTCATGTCCATACCAATACCCACCCACCTTCCCCTCTGTCGGAGTAGCTGGCAAGAAGGAACTGAGGAGGCGCGGGATTGGCTGGGTCCTATATCCAGCACCATGAAGGTGCCACTCCAGGAGACTCCACAGCTGACCCGATGGAAGCTGCTAAGGGAAAACTTTCGATGACTGTACACGTGGCGTGCACACACCTGATTGGAATGGACACGAACACCACATCTCAAAGGACAACAGTTATGAGAAGGTGAGTAACCATTTTTTATCCATGATATTTGGAATTGAGCAGATGTGAGGACAAATTTATAGCTGTTTAGGCCTATAAAAAACCTCCACAAAATAAATCAGCAGTGCAGCATGCATCAGACAAGTAAGAAATCGACTGCTAGTGACAGCTCCACAATGTAGGTAGGTTTCTCAGACTGAGACACCAACTTCATAATGTGAACAGAAGAGAGAAGGAAACGAATGAAATAAACAAAGGGAGCGAGCCTAGAAAAAATGATAAATGAAAACATTTTTGGTACAGTTCCTCATTGAATTTGGGTCTTTTTCCTTCAAACTGTTGGTCTGCTTTCCTTTCTCATGCCTGCCCTTTTCCCCTTTCCTTTCCATTCTAAGCTGTTGCCTCGCTGCTTCAGCCCCTAAACTTGTCTGTAGGTGCATCAGCTAGTACAGAATTGTCAGCAAAGAGAATCTCTTGATCACCATGTCATTGCTATGGCCATTTGGGATCAGAAGTGATGTTTTCTTCCAGTTGAGAATGGCGTAACAATCAGACCATACTCTGCACCCTATTCAAGTGAGAGGTGCATGAGATACTTGTCATTTTGATGGCCCTGGAGACCTAGGGTTTCTGAGGATGGTGTGGGGAGGTGAGAAATATTGTAGAGCTCTGACTGGGGCTTGTGGTGCTAGAGTAATAGAGGAAGAGACAAAGGTAGACAGGTGGATGGGGTGTGAGGAGAAAGCTGATGATAAATTAATAAGCATTATAAAAAAGTCTATAATTATAGAAAAAGGAATCCAGACTGAGGGAGCCAGATACAGAAGGAAATAAAGAAATAAATGAAAAATAAACAAGTGACTGTGTAGTTAACCTTTTTATAGAACATCTGCTTCCAAGCTGTTGTCTGATGTACAGAAATATAATCTGTAATACTGACACGACATATTTTCATTTCAACACCAGAATGAAACACCTATCATTTAAGTGTAAAATGCAAAGAGATCTAGTCTAGATGTGAAGAATTTTTACTCTAACATGCTTGCAAATAATCTTGAGTTACTATTCTAAACATTGAAGAAATAAGAGAAAATGCTTTCTTGACTCTGTTTGAATGGTCATACACAGAGCATTGGACCTATTACCCAGCTATAGAGGAATTCTCCTGTTCTGATGTGAAAACTGGCAGTGAATTACAAAGTATAACATTACTTCACCTTTTTAAAATTGGTGATCTTCTTAAATGAAACATGCTAATAAACTTGCTCATTAAAAAATTAAAAGAATATAAAGATTGATATTTCCTGACCTTTCAGTGTTGCTATGCAAAGTTGATTGCATGTCCAACCTTAATTCTGACCAATTGTTCATGTGCATTACAATAGTGTTTCATTACATGATCATATACTATGTGTCAAATAAGACAGTGTAATGTAAAAAAAATTTCTACAGCTTTACATACATATGTCACAGCTTATATTGGAGAGTACTACTCTGTGAATGCCACTGTCCACGAATGCCTTATTTAAGTCATTCACTGTGACCTTATGATCCCCCATGCAAAGTTGCAGAAAAAATATTCTATATTTGAGAAATTACTGTATGAAATACAACTAAAAGTACACTGAACAAGACCAGAGTTCCTTCACATTCCCTTTATTATGCTACTCATTGCATAAAGTGCAAAATAAATGAGGTAAGGTGTGCTCAGCCCCTTGCCTGACTCATGATGGACAAACCTTCAGTAATTTGACTCCATACTAACTTATCACACAAGTTGTTTCTCACACTCAAATAGCTGAATCATTTCCCCCCCAAAGTATCTCTCAAAAAATAAATCTTCAGGCAGAGACTGGAAAATTTCAGCCCAATAGTGAAAATTTCAGGAAGTTGTGAATGAATAAAGACATGAAATGAAAACCTTTCCGTGACCTCAATAGAAGGTGAGCCTGCCCTCTTTCTATAATCAGCCATGCAGAGACAATGAAATCCTTTCCAAAGTGTAATAGAAGCCAGTATGTTGAATAATAAGTTTACATTTAGTTACACTTTTATTAACTTTACCCTGAATATGGTGACCATTGTGGTTGGTTGGTTGTATGGCTTTGAATGCATAAACACTTGTCAGTTTTAGCAACTAATATTGAAATTTCTGATTACACATCTGTTTCTTTGAGGTGTCACTTATATAATTGGGCCTGTTTTCTATCCAGATAGTATCTGCAGTGCAGTACTGCCATCAAAAGCATATTGTTCATAGAGATCTCAAGGTGAGTAGGAAGAAAAGCTACCAAAGTTTGTATGCAATAGTTTCATTCTTTGTGCCTAAGATTTTTAAATCTTTTCCATGGCTTACAGGAAGTTTTAAATGCTATTAAAATATATTGAATATGGAGGTATTTCTTTAAAAAAAAATGGGGGTGGAGGAGAAGATGAGATATATCTTAATGTAAGGATTTGGCTGGCATATGAAAATTGGATCCTCTGATCTCTTGGTCACTAATTGAAATCTAGCTCAGTTTGGTAATGATAAAAAAAAATTACAGTTGGGTAACAGATGGGTAAATGCCTGGTGATTCTTGTTGCCGGAATTAGTAGACTACACAAAAAGCCCATCGTCATGGATGGGTTGGCTTCTCTTAGGCTTGGCGCACGTTGGTGTGGCATTATGAGAGAGCTTGCTCCATTACTTATACTATAACTGTATAAGGTTGCTATTACTTGAAACTGAAATGTGGCACATTTCATAAATCTTATATTCACTTTATACTAAAAAAAAAAGTAGAGATTTTATGTACTACAAATTTTTGTAAGCATTTAGCAGATAAAAGTGTAGGCTTTAAGAGCTGCAGTTACATTTTTATCTTGTTACATGGAAACATAAAGTTACAGAAATACCAAATAGTTTTCCATGAAGTAACCAAAGGGATGATACATGTGACTAGCTTTATTTAGTGTAACAGGTGCCATAAATCTGAAGGTGATACACTAGTGAGATTACAAAATTAGTAATTTTCATATTTATTTTAAAAAGATATTTGATTATTTTCAATAAAAAAGCACTTTTGGCTTTTGCCTTTAAGAATGAATAAAAAATTGAACAACAGCTTTTGTAGAAAAATCTGAAATTTACACAACACGGTATTTTTCTTTTCTTCCTCCCAGGCTGAAAATCTATTGCTAGATGCAGATATGAACATTAAAATAGCAGACTTTGGTTTTAGCAATGAGTTTACAGTTGGAAATAAACTGGATACATTTTGTGGCAGCCCACCATATGCTGCGCCAGAGCTCTTCCAAGGCAAGAAATATGATGGACCTGAAGTAGATGTTTGGAGTTTAGGTGTTATTCTTTACACTCTTGTTAGTGGATCTCTTCCTTTTGATGGACAGAACTTAAAGGTATATTACTTGCACTCTACTAGCTGTTATAATAATTCAACAACAGTATTTTAAACTGACTCTGACTTTTTATAATTTGCTTCCTTTCTCCCAAGGAACTGAGAGAGAGAGTACTAAGGGGAAAATACAGGATCCCTTTCTACATGTCAACAGACTGTGAAAACCTCCTCAAACGTTTTCTGGTGCTAAACCCAACTAAAAGAGGCACTCTAGAGGTAATAGCATGAGTAAAATACTTTCAGACAAAATAGTAATTAAAGGTGATTTAACAAGCTTCATTTGTACCACTAATACTTGCTATTCCTCTCCCTTCCCCATTAGCAGGTACTTAACTTCAGTTGATATTTGCTGGAGTTGCTGCCCTGAGAGTACTAGTGTGAGTTTTTGGCACAAATATGGCAAAATTGCAGCTGTTTCCCTCAAGTCAGTTTCTCAGTGCAGTGAAGAAAGTTTTTTTTTCTGTGCATATGCAATCCAACACACACTCTTAGATGGTTGCCTACTTACATGTGTACTCTGAGCATGCACCTGGCTTAAGTGGGCAAATCCATAATGCGTGAAGAAATTGGGGTTTCGTGCATGCAACCCTAATTTGAATACACATCAGGAGTTTTCATGCCTACATTGGGAAGTCACTTAAGAGCACATCTTTGAAAACTTTATATTTGTCTTTGTTTCCTTAAAAGCTAATAACCCAAAGCACAATAGTATCACTATTGTAAACTGTAGTTTTGGACTTTCAAAATGTACCACAGTATTCTACAGTAAAGTATCTTGAAGATGTATAGAGTAATCACATGAGGAGGAGTTACTGATTACTCCCTTCAAAAGTAGGGCACTATGGCTAGGCATGGCTTGCATTTTAGTACATTCCTATGAAAGGCTGTTGGAGTACAGTCTAATATCTGTGACTTCCTAAATAGTTCAACATTAGAGAAGGGTTAAAATCTCAGTTTGGATTTTCTTAACCATAATATTTTTAAACAAGTGCTTTTATCTTCTTTTTTTTTCGTTTGTGTTCTTTGTCAATACTTTGCTTTAATTTAACTCCTTGGAGAACTGACTAGTTCCCAAGTGAGTAATATTTAGAATGGGGAAGTCTGCTAGAAGTTTTGTGGCTGAAAGAGGGCATTAGTGTACAAAATCCAGTGAAGGTTTCCTGGATTAGGATGGTTTCCTGCATACAGATTGTTGTCTGGAAGAAGTCTTAACTACTCTCCTCCCTGTGCTCCCACTGCAACCAATCTCTCCACTACTAATACTTAACTTTGACCTTTATGCTGGAATACAGCTGATGGGAAGTAGTCTGTCTAGGAACACAAGTCCAGGGAGGAGAGGAAGGAGACTGGCAATAAATCTGGCTAGTTTCAAATATGAGTTGGGAATTATTGGGAGCTTTCTGGAAAAGAATGGTGGGTAGAATTAGAGGAGGAAGTAAGGACTTATCTCTTTAAACCCAAGTCTGGATTTGCTTGTCTTCAGTTCTTCAATGCTATACATTTTTGATAGATGGGACTTTGACCTTTCAGTGACTTGTTTCGTTTACAAGTAAATATCTTACACTACTAAGCAACCTATCTTTGTAGCAAATCATGAAGGACCGGTGGATCAATGCAGGGCATGAAGATGATGAGCTAAAACCTTTTGTTGAACCAGAGCTGGACATCTCAGACCAGAAGAGAATAGGTAATTCAGTGTTTTCCAATATGTCCGCATTTAACTTGCAGTATTTTGAGTTCATGTACTGTATAAGCAGATCTGATCTGTGCTTAATATGTATATTTAGGTATTTGAAAAACAACTTTACTATTAGTATCTAATTAGACATTGTTCCCACATTTAGATATTTTGTTCCATTGTTAGAAATAAACAGGTTTTTGAACATGGAAGCACTCAACCAGTGTGTATCTATTAAAGCATATTATGACTTACAAACTCCTTCTTTCTTTTAGATATTATGGTTGGAATGGGATACTCTCAAGAAGAAATTCAAGAATCCCTTAGTAAAATGAAATATGATGAAATCACAGCTACATACTTATTGTTAGGGAGAAAATCATCAGAGGTGAGTATAGAACAGGAAAAAAGTTAAAAATATTCTGATGTTAAATGCAGAAAAACTATTCAGAGCAAAAGATAGTTAATTCAAGTGAAAGTTATGGTTCCTCTTTGAGAAATTGTTTACGTGAATTCCACCACGTGGTCCACCATGTGGACAAGATCAAATTATTTTGGCCGGTAATGTCCGTTGTGACTGCACCTGTGTCCTAAATGTCCTTGTGTGTCCCCCCTACCCAAGGGCATAAAGGACAGAGCAAGCCTCATTGTCCATCAATTCAAGTGCTTGTCTCAATATATTCCACTATTGATGTGCATGCACTCAGTACAATCCTATTTGCATTCTTTTACCCTGCAGCGTCCATTCAGGGCTACACCTGTGCAGAGTGAGCTTCCTCATACCTCTAGCCGAAGACATAAAATATGGGGTGATCCCAACTTCCCCTCAGTTCACCGCCCCATGTCTTGCAGTGTGTGAGCCTCTTCCCTCGCTGTGTCATTTACCCATTGTTTTGTAAATAGATATTTAATAGCTGGTGATTAGTGTTTAATTTTTTGATGGCATTTCCTTTCTTCTTCAACAAGAAGGAATTTTATTTTGTCTAAGCATCTGTCCTGGTACCTGATTGATAGTAATGACTGAACACAAGTCTCCAAGCTTTAGGGATTGCCCTTCATTTGAGATAGTAATGCCTCTAAATTGTGGGTATACCAGATGCTTACTGTGTCTGGGTGAGGGGCAGATAACAGAGAAATGTCATCTGTAAATTATTTTCTAAGAGAAACCAAAGATCCGGGGAGACATTCCTGAAAGTGATCCTGCTGGAGAGATTAAAGCCTCCCTCTTCAGACCCTGAGATAGCTGTGGCAGCAGAAATTTCTGAGCACTCCTCATCTAAAAGGGCTCTTGTTGGCTCCTCTACTTGTAGAATTGAAATAGCTGCCCATAAAGATCTGATAAAATCTCAAGGGATAGGGAAGGAAAGAACAGAGTCCACACACGGAAGAGAGAGAGGTCTCCATCACCAGGTCCTTTTTCAGGAGCCACAAATCCTCTTGAGCCTCAGTTGAAAAGTGTAACACCAGGCCCGAAAAGGGATGCTCTGTAACCCAGTCAGGCATCAAACAGTGCTTCTATGCAGTCTTCCCTTGTATTGATGCCATCCTCTCATAAAACTTTAGTACTGAATATGCCAATGCGAAAGTCAGACAAGTGGTCAAAAGACTAACTGATCTTTTCAGGATTGGACTTCTGACAGTCTCTCTTTAACTCCTTTGTCCCTGGTTGTGGGGTTACACTCCTCCCCCCCCCACCTCCACACACACCTCTGCTGGGGCTTCTGCTAGGACTCAGAAACACACACACTCTGCACGCAGGGATGTGGGTTAACAGCAGGATTGGAATAAACACACTACTGGGAGCTGTCAATAAGAGGGGGACCAAGAACAGCCAATTGGAAAAGAATGTCCAGGGCCTTAGGAGAGAAGGAAATTGGGCAGTATGTTCACTGGAGTCAGGTTGAGAACAGGTGATTAGGGAGTATTCCAAGGGGGAAAGAAGCAGGGCAGAATGTTCAGTGGCCAACAGAACCAAATGTGCAGTGATTCCATGTGGTAGAAGAGTAATAAAATGGAAGAAATTAAGAGCAAAAGAAGATGGCTTGGAGCTTTTTTTTCCTCCTTAAGCATCATGAGACACTTTTCAAAAAGGAGAATATGTTTGTCAGATCAAAGATAGTTGCAAATAAATTATTTCTCCATCTAAACAATTGTTTTAGGTGCCTCAGATATACTGTATAATCTTGAATGGAGCAAAAGTGGTCCAAGCTGTTGAAAATGTGAGGAGAGGCAGTCTCTCTAGGATGTAGTCCACATTGAAATTTTGAGAGCCCATGTCTTAGCCAGAACCTACTGAGCAATCTTTAGAAATGATCTTTTAAAATAGATTTTTATCCTAATTTTTTTCAAACGTGTGTATGCACTCAATGGGGATTGTGCATATATTAATCTTTTAGTTTCAAATATCTGCTGGTTTTTTTATTACACATATGGAGGAAGCGTGGTCACTTTTTTGTTTTAGGGAATCGGGGAGGAGGGGAATTTACATTTCACCTTTGTAGAACTCAGAGCTGAAAAACAGGAAAACTCTCTACCCTCTATAGTGAACAAGCACTGAACATTTCAGTGCAGAGAGGAGATTTATTGGAAAGGGGGAAGCTTGTGTAAATGGGATTATAACTGTTTTGCAGCCTTACCTGTAGCAGTCAGTGTCAGGTGACCTCTGTTATTTTAAAATAGCTGTAAAACTGCAATAGTGGAGAAAATTAACCTAAACACAACTTAGCATATCACATTCATTTCCTTTGATTTAGCAAGTAGATTGTGTGAACCCTTGTGACTGTAGTCCAACAAAAAAGCATTAATATGCTGCTTAGCTATGTTAAGTCATTGTTAAATTTAATGTAGATGCATTTTTCTCATAACATTTTTTAATGTGCTGCCTCATGACATCAGCAGTCCTGATTAAAATTATACCAAAAATAGTTTCCCAGAGTGAAGGAATAGTTGCTGACCTAGGAATATACACACAATCCCAATTCTGCTGTTCCTTATGTTCCAGTTTGCAGAGTCATTTATTTTCTCACGGGTGTGGCAGTTTTGCCAAATAATCCTTCATATGTGCCTTCTCCTTCATGCAACCAATACAGAGTAAGGGTAGTGATTTGGTTGAGTTACCTCTTATCACAATGGTCTAGGACTCTTGGCATGACATAGATAAATGCCTTGGTGTTGCACAGGTATAATTAGTAGGGCTGTCACAAGATTAAAAAAATAATCTTGTTAATAGTGCAATTAATTGCGCTGTTAAACAATAGAACATGTAAATATTTTTGGATGTTTTCTATACTTTCAAATATATTGATTTTAATTACAACACAGAATACAAAGAGTACAGTGCTCACTTTATATTTATTTTTTATTACAAATAGTTGCACTGAAAAAAACAAAAGAAATGATATTTTTTCAATTCACCTAATACAAGTACTGTAGTGCAATCTCTTTATTATGAAAAGTGAACTTACAAATGTAGAATTTATGTACAAAAAAACTGCATTCAAAAATTCAACCACCATTCCAGAGGACATGCGTCCATGCTGATCACGGGTTCTGCTCAATAACGATCCAAAGCAGAACGGACCGATGCCTATTCAATTTCATCATCTGAGTCAGATGCCACCAGCAGAAGGTTGATTTTCTTTTTTGGTGGTTCGGGTTCTGTAGTTTCCACATCTGAGTGTTGCTCTTTTAAGACTTCTAAAAGTATGCTCCACACCTCGTCCCTCTCAGATTTTGGACAGCACTTCAGATTCTTAAACCTTGGATCGAGTGCTGTAGCTGTTTTTAGAAATCTCACATTGGTACCTTCTTTGTGTTTTGTCAAATCTGCTGTGAAAATGTTCTTAAAACAAACATGTGCTGGGTCATCATCCGAGGCTGCTATAACATGAAATATATGGCAGAATGCAGGTAAAACAGAACAGGAGACCTACATTTCTTCCCCAAGGAGTTCAGTCACAAATTTAATTAATGCATTATTTTTTTAACGAGCATCCTCAGCATGGAAGCATGTCCTCTGGAATGGTGGCCGAAGCATGAAGGGGCATATGAATGTTTAGCATATCTGACACATAAATACCTTGCAACACTGGCTGCAAAAGTGCCATGCGAACGCCTGTTCTTGCTTTCAGGTGATGACGTAAATAAGAATCAGGCAGCAGTATCTCCCATAAATGTAAACAAACTTGTTTGTCTTAGCAATTGGCTGAACAAGAAGTAGGACTGAGTGTACTTGTAGGCTCTAAAGTTTTACATTTTTATTTTTGAGTGCAGTTATGTAACACATCTATATTTGTAAGTTACACTTTCATGATCGAGATTGCACTACAGTACTTGTATGAGGTGATTTGAAAAATATTATTTCTTTTGTTTTTACAGTGCAAATATTTGTAATAAAAATAATATAAAGTGAGCACTGTATTCTGTGCTGTAATAGAAATCAATATACTTGAAAATGTAGAAAAATATCCAAAATATTTAATAAATTTAAATTGGTATTCTATTGTATAACAGTGTGATTAATAGTGATTAATTTTAATCACAATTTTTTGAGTTAATCGCGTGAGTTAACTGCGATTAATCAACAGCCCTAATAATTAGTAAAGTCCAAATGGGTGAGAACTTAAAAATTGGACTATAATAAAACTCAGATCTCAGTGATTGAATCTATTGATAGTCTGAACAGAAAGAGCTCTCAGCTATCCTTGTAGCTGTTTTCATTGCTTCACACTTACTCAACACACGTTCTAGTTGTCAGTGAAAATCCTGAAATCTTATTATGTAGATTAACAGGACACTGAGGATACAAATCTGCCTATACAGGCTACTGCCTTTAGAATGGCTACCAAAACATGGCAGACGCTACATCTGATCTCCTTCCCACCTTGTCTCCCCCCGCCCACCACCTAGCCCCAGGTATTTAAAACAACGTAATCAATCTCTTAATATAATGCTTTAATGGGAGGAGAGTGTAAGGAGGGTAAGGAGATATGGAGACTGGTTGGGGTAATGTGAGAATCATATATGAAGAGATGTAAGGGCAGTTGCCAGCCAGAGAGAGAATTCTATGCAGAATATCAATAGGTTCAATCATCACTGAGATCTGAGTTTTATTATAGTCCAATTTTTAAGTTCTCACCCATTTGGACTTTACTAATTATTAGGGCTGTCGATTAATCACAGTTAACTCACGCGATTAACTCAAAAAATTGTGATTAAAAATTAATCACATTGTTATACCATAGTCATGTATAATGGGGAGTAAATGGGGAGTGCATGGCACTCTAATAACTTGAGTGCTTCCTGGCTGAAAGATAACTAATTTGTGATAGTGCGGAAATTGCAGATCTCAGCAATATTAGGCTTCCACTGCAATTCTGTCAGCCGCCTGGGGCTGACAGCAGAAGCCGTGGCCACCAGTTGGCTGAGCCTGACAGTGGGAACCCCGGCCATCAGCCGCTGATGGCCAAGGCTCCTGCTGTCAGCCCCATGCATTAATGAATGTAATGTAGTTGCACAAAATGTCTGGTTATCAAAAAAAATATAGAAGGCATAACATAATACTGGAATGTTTATATTGTTCCAGCAAATTTTTCTTAAAAAAAATTAGTCTTCTCTGATTTCCAAATTACCACAATTAATAAAGGTCCGTTATTACTTTTCTGCAATTTTCCATGTCTAATCTGTGACTCTCAGCCACAATTATTTGACAATCATCCCATGATTCAAGTAGGGCCTTAGCAATAACTTTATTGTGGGCTAAAACACCATATTTTGACTTCAGTACTATAGCCTATCATATGCTGGTTACCTTTAAACAAAAACACCTTCAAATATTGGTTAAGCATTTTAACATATTTTTAAAATGACCTATTTTTGAATTGTAGGACCAAAAGTTTGGTAGGCACTCTATACTCACTTTGGGGCAGGGACTACATTCTAATGTCTGTATAAATGGAAGCAAACTGTTCAGAAGCAAACACCCTCTTCTCTCCCCAACCTTATCCCGTAAGGAAGGGATAGAAGATATTTGTTTCTCAGCAAAATAATGTTTTCATAAAATGCTCCTAACATTTCAGAAGTAAATTGAACTGTGCAATGTTTTGTGTTGCTATTGTAGCTTTGTCCAGATTTGGTTACTTATTTACCACCAGTTGAGTGAAAAATGAATAGAGCACTACTCATATTTCTACTGGTCCTTTAGGCACAGAACTGGATCTGACTAGTGCACTTTTAAGGAACATTTTAGCGTGAGAACCTTTTGAAATTTTGCTTACTTAGGATTATGTTCAGAATCTCTGGACGTTGTTAAATTCATTTTGATTGAACCTCATTTTTAAATTTTCTCTTAGTTGGATGCTAGTGATTCAAGCTCCAGCAGCAATCTTTCCCTTGCTAAAGTTAGGCCAAGTAGTGATCTCAACAATAGCACTGGACAATCGCCTCATCACAAAGTGCAGAGAAGCATATCTTCCAGCCAAAAACAGCGACGGTACAGCGATCATGGTGAGTGACCCTGTTTCAGTGTGATGACGCACACCTACTATAAAAAGTTCGATATTTTCTTACAGCCTTCACCTTTTAAAAGGGACCAACTTGCTTATGGTCTGGTCAGTTACAACCTAGTGACTAATTCATTGTTTTACAATGATCAGGTATTTTTATGTATACTTAAGACCTCCTCAGAGATACCTTCTAAAGCTGTACTGAGTGAACCAGCTTATTCTATTATTATGGCAATATTTTCTCCTGCCTGTGGGGCCATCCTAGGAAAGTCTTGCTACACAAGTTAAACAACATCTCGCAAGTTCTCTTGTTCAATATCAAGTGCATCCCGCACCATCCCCCCACTTCCATTATGGCCATACAGCTTTTGTTTCCTTTTGGCACTAATAGGTCAGCCTTTGTCTAAAAGAACTTGGAAAACTGTCTGTCCCCCAGTATTTCTTCTTGTTTCCTGTGGGGGCTGTCACTTGAATGCCCTGCAAAGGTCCAGTTTTTAAAGAGTACCAGTGACTCCAGCCAAACTTAGAACTTTTCTGCCTCATGGGTATGCAGAACAGTCACACAGAATTTACTAAATATCTTATAAATCTTCCTGCCTATACACTAACTTACAAAGGGAATCTCCTTTTGACCTGAATATACTACAGTGGTTATTTGCAGGCAGGAGAGGTTGCTTTCCTCTCCCTGTGTCTCCTCGGATTACGTTGTCTTTTTTGTTAAATTTTCTAATCTGTAGAATCAGTTTGTTAGTTTTGTTCGAAGAGAGAAACCAAAACACTTGAATGGTTTTGACTTTATTTTTATCCCCATTAACGTGTGTCAGGAGAGGAAGGGAAGTCTGACTTTCAAAATATAACATCCACATCTCAACTCCTTACATTTTAATAGCTGGGAAAGGATTGGTACAAATAGTTGGGCCGTTGGACATTTTGCCTGATCTTCAGGTGTACCAGAACAGCTTTTTGCCATTCTTCCCCAATTCCATAGGCATGTGGGGGCCTACAGCACAAATTAGGGTAGGTTGTGTGCCAGCAATAATTGCCCTCGGGTGCCAGTCCACCATCTCAGAGTACCTGGAATTTAGCTTGGTCTGGCTGGGCTCTGGAATGCCCATTGAACTGGGAGGGATTAGAAACAAGTGACAAAGAACCTGCCATGACAACTTTATGCAATTAGAGATCCCTTGCTCAAAGGAAATCCGTAACTGGGTTTAGACTAGCTTTCCAACCTATTGTGCCAGTGGCAAGAAAGGGAATAAAGCACAGCCAAATATATGGCCCAACACTTCAAGTAAAAGAGGAATGACTAGAAAAGTACAATAGGCAGTGTTCAAATGTTGGACTTCTGGAGCTAAGCAAAACAAGACAAGAGCCTGAAGGGGACCTTTCAGAGTGTTTAACACCAGTTTTTTCTTACATTAAAATCTGAGGAACATCTCCAACTAAAGAATTTAAATAGTTTTATATTCACCACCCAGCTGTCCTTACCGGAGAAAATGTATACAAATTCTGCATCTTTGGTGGAAAATTGCGTTAAAGAGAGCTTTAAGAGTTGGCTTAAATCTCCAACTTATTAAATTTTTAAAAATTGACTTTGTTTTTGAGCAACTCAAGTTTTACCCTTTTTTAAAAAGGCAGAGATTAATAAGTTTGGAAAAGTTCTTCGAGTGCTTGCTCATGTCCATTCCATTGTCTGTGTGTGCACTCGCCATATGCACTGGTGCCGGATTTTTTCCCCTCAGTGATATCTGTAGGGGACAGGGTCTGGTGCCCTCTGGAATGGCACGCATATGCGCCGGTATAAGGGGTGCCGCTAGCTCCCCTCTCCCTCAGTTCCTTCTTACTGCCAATGACCGTGCTGGAATGTCTCCTTGCTTCGGCACGCTTTCCTATCTCTGCTGTGTTTAGTAGTGAATTTGTTGTATATAGTTGTTTAAAGTTGTACAGTTAATAGTTCCCTTAGTGTTAAGTTAGAAATAGTTAGTCCCGTACAGGACTTAGCCTAGGGACAGGGCATGCCCTGGGCTTCAAACCTTGTGACTGTTGCAAAAACCTGTGCCAGTCAGTGATCCCCATAGAAGTTGCCTGAAGTGTTTAGGGGAAACCCACATGAGCGACAAGTGTTGCATTTGCAAGAGCTTCAGGCCGCTGACCGAGAAGGAGCAGGATATTTGTCTCCGAGCGCTCTTTATGGAGTCGGTCCTTGCACCAGCCTCAGAGCCAACGAGATTGGACTCTGCTCCAAGTACTGTGGCCCCGGTGCAGAGCACCCTGCCGGCAGCAACCTCTGACTGGCGCCATTGCCAGTACCAGGTAAAAAAAGCAAAGAGAGGCCGGGAGGGGGCGTTCTCCTATGTCCCATAAAGGGAAGGAGAGAGCCGGAGAGTGAAGATCTGCGTAGGACAGTTCTTCCCCTCTGGATGGTGGCCAGGCTCTGACTGCTGTTGAGCTGTCAAGCCCACTTCAAGACCCACCCGCCACCCCGGGAAGTGGCAGAGGTACTCGACACTTGGCGGTGCCATCCACACCGGAGGCCTTTCAGGATGCTAAGAACATACTGTCCCATCTGGTGCAGCCCACGCCGGCCACTGAGGTGCCTCGTTTGTGGGGTAAACCTGCCCTGGGACCCTTCCAGCCCTCTCTATCAGTGCAGCACTGCTCCCCACCTCAGGGAGTTCCCCGTCAGCGCTCGCCTGAACAGTGCCACCAGCCCCTGGTTGGCTTGACTGCCAGAGTTCCCAGCGTCAGTTCCCAGCGTCAGTCCCCAGACTCTAGGCAGCGTTCCTCAGGCTCTAGGTGTTGATTGCCAGCGGCCTGGCGCAGACCCAGAGTTGTCACCAGTCCCCAGAGCACCGGTGGCAGGAGCGTCGAAGTCACTCTCCCAGCCCATGGCACCGTTCCAGAGGGTCCAGACGCTGGTCCCTGGAACCACGTCACCGGATTGCCGGTATGGATCACTGCGGGCACATTGGTCTCTGAGATGTCAGTGTTCTCACTCCCATTCCAGTTCACAGTCTATGGAGCAGCACCACTCTCTAAGCATGAGGCATCAATCGCCTGGGTACCATCACCAAATGCTGACGCTGGTCACAGGGTTGCAGCACCGAGAGCCATTGCCCCCGTACAGGTCCCCAGTGAAGGTCCGTGGGCAGAGCCAATGAGATCGGGGTACACAAGCAGCCTTTGTACTGTCCTGGTCCCCCAGACAAGTCTCTCCCTCCTCAGGGTCGGACAGTGAGGAGGAGAACCTGGATGATGCCAGGGCCCTCCAGGAGCTTTTGAAGACGGTCGCATCAAATCTGGGGCTGGAAGCCAAGGAACTGGTGGAGCCCTCAGACTCCCTGTTCGATGTGCTAAGTTCAGCAGTCCCCTCCAAGATGGCATTGCTGGTGCATGAGGGAGTGATTAAAATTACAAAAGCCCTGTGGCAGACACCCTCCTCCTTCCATCCCCATGTCCAAGTGGGTGGAAAGAAAATACTACATCCCCACTAAGGGATACGAGTATCTTTATACCCACGCTGCCCTAACTGGTTGTGTCGGCAGCCAATGGGCGTGATAGACAGGGCCAACCCAGATCAACGCCTAAGAATAAGGAGGCAAAGAGGCGTGATCTCTTTGGGAGAAAGATTTATTCTATGTCCAGCCTCTAGCTGAGAGTGGCCAACCATCAGGCCTTACTTGGCCGTTATGATTTTACTATTTGGCAATCGATGGCAGAGATTGTGGATTTGCTGCCTGAGGAGCCCAGGAAGGAATTCCTGGCTATCATAGATGCAGTGCTGTGGCCAGGGCAGCCCTCCAAGAAGCCTCAGATGCGGCAGATTCTGCGGCCTGGACCATGGCTTCAGCCATTTCTATGCGGCATGCGTCCTGGTTGCATTTCTGTGCGTCGGGCCTGTCGATGGAGGTTCAGCAATCCATCCAGGACCTCCCTTTCAATGGCTTGGCATTCTTTTCGGGACAGACAGTAAATTACATGGCCTGAAAGACTCTAGGGCTATCTTGCGCTCCCTGGGCCTTTATACACCGGGGCCGTCAAGAAAGCAGTTTAAGCCACAACAGTCCCACAGGTTCAGGAGCCAACCTCAATCAGAGCCCTTCTGCAAGAAGGTCAAGGGCTATAAGTGCTGGCCAGCCACCTTAGCTCGCTCGAGCCATAACCAACCGGGTAATGAGCAGGCATTCTGAGGGTGCTCTCAAGCCTGTGTCCTGCGCCTTCCAGCCTGTGTCCTGGATCCAGCACCCTTGTCATTTTCCAACCATTTGTCCCCCTTCCTCCCTGCCGGGACCTCTATAATATCGGGCCAGTGGGTCCTCCTGCACGATAGCAGGGGGATTTTACCCTCCAGTCTATTTCTCCCACCCCCCCTCCCCTATCCCTATTCAGAGCCCTTCTCACAAGCATCTGCTCACTCAGGAGATACAAGGCTTTCTGAGGGTGGGAGCCGTGGAGGAAGTCCCTCTGCATTTGAGGGGGAAAGGGTTTTACTCCCGCTATTTCTTTACACAAAAAGCCAACGGGGATCTATGCCCCATTCTTGACCTGCGGAGCCTCAACAAGTATCTCAAGAAGTTGGAGTTCCTCACGGTCTCCTTGGCCTCCATCATTCCTTCCCTGGATCCAGGAGACTGGTACGCCACCCTTGACCTGAAAGATGCTTACTTTCACGTATCGATATTTCACAGACACAGATGGTTCCTACACAGAGCAATTCTCTGTGCTCCCTTTTGGTCTAGCAACGGCACCAAGGGTTTACGAAGTGCATGTTGGTGGTGGAGGCCTACCTCAGAGGTCAGGGTATCCAGATCTACCCATACCTCAACGACTGGCTCATCAAGGGCCGGTCCAGGTCCAGCACAGCATCCAGATGTTGCGAGCCACTTGTCAAGCTCTGGGCCTGTTGATAAATGAACAAAAATCAACGTTGATACCGGTCCAATGGATAATTTATCGGAGCAGTAGTCGACTCTGCCTGAGTGAGAGCATTCCTGCCAGAGGTCAGATTCAGGACAATGTGAGATCTGATTGTCAGCGCCACTTCCTGGGTGTCTCTGACTATTGGGGCACATGGCAGCATGCACGTACGTTGTCCGACATGTGAGACTTAGGCTGCATACCCTCCAGATGTGGCCAGCATCGGTGTACTCCCTGACCAGATATCACCTGGACAAGGTCATGACGATCCCACCATGGGTACTTACCTCTCTGCAGTGGTGGTCCAACCCAATTCTGGTGTTGGAAGGGGTGCTGTTCGCGAGCCCATGACCCACAGTCTCCCTGATTTTGAATGCATCTGACTTAGATTGGGGAGCACATCTCAGTACACTATGGACTCCAGGGTTATGGTCTGGAGAGGAGCTTGTATTACACATAAACGTCAAGTAGCTCGGATCCATCCATCAGGTTTGTGGTCTCTCTCTCCACCTCACAGCTTGGATACTGGGTGGCTGAATCCAGAGGAACAGGCCTGCTCTAATCAGGTGCAGCAAGTTCTCTTGGAGAGCAGAAAGCCCTCCACCAGAGCAACTTATCTGGCAAAGTGGAAGCTGGGTGTCAAAGCAGGATATCTCCCTGACCCAGTCATCTCTGCAGTCCATCCTGGATTACCTGCTTCACTTAAAGCATCAGGGCCTTGCCTTCTCTTCAGTCAAGGTGTACCTGGCAGCCATATTGGCCTTCCACCTTGCATCCCGGGTAGATTGGTGTTCTTGCATTAGACGTTGATCAGGTTCCTGAAAGGCCTTGAAAGACTTTCTGCCAATCCGGGACCCGGTCTCCTAATGGGACCTCAGCCTGGTCCTCTCCAGGCTCGCGGGTCCGCCCTTTGAGCCTATGGCTTCTTGTTCCCTTTCCCACTTGTCCTGGAAGGTTGCTCTTCTTGTAGCTATTACTTCGGCGAGACATGTCTCCAAGATTAAAGCCCTCACTTTAGAGCCCCCATACACTGTATTCTACAAGGACGAGGTCCAGCTGGGGCCCCATCCGGCCTTCCTGGCAAAGGTGGTGTCGCACTTCCTTGTCAACCAGGCTATCTTCCTCCCAGCGTTCTGTCCAAAGCCTCACATGACCAATGAGGCGAGGCAGCTGCACACTCTAGATGTCAGGCGCACCCTGGCTTTCTACCTGGTACTCACCAAGCCCTTCCGCAGATCAACCCAGCTCTTCATCGTAAGAGCTGACAGGATGAAGAGTCTTCCGGTGTCCTCTCAGAGGATTTCCAATTGGATCACCACTTGCATTCATACTTGTTAGGAGTTGGCACAGGCTGTGCCTCCACTGATAGTGAAGGCTCACTAGACGAGGGCTCAGGCGGCTTTGACTGCCTTCCTGGCACATGTCCCTACCCAGTACATCTATAGGGCCGCGATGTGGCCTTCAGTACACACGTTCACGGCGCATTACGCTATCACCCAGCAAGCCAGAGATGATGCGGGATTTGGCAGAGCTGTGTTGCAATCAACACATCCTTGAACTCCTCCTACCCACCTCCAATGGTACTGCTTGGGAGTCATCTACAATGTAATGGACATAAGCAAGCCCTTGAAGATAAGACAGTTACCTTTCATAACTGTTGTTCTTTGAGATGTGTTGCTTATGTTCATTCCATGACCCACCCTCCTTTCCCCCTGCCGATTTTCGGCAAGAAGGAACTAAGGGAAGGGGAGGGGGAGTCGGCAACACCCCTTATACCGGTGCAGATGTGCGCCGCTCCACAGGGCACAGAGCCCGGTCCCCTATGGATACCACTGAGGGGAAAACTTCCTGCACCAGTATATGTGGCAAGCGCACGCATCTACAATGGAATGGACATGAGTAAGGCTAAGATTGTCATGGAGGTTGCGGAAGTCACGAAATCCATGACTTTCAGCGACCTCCGTGACACTGGGGGGCCCCGCGACCTCCGTGACACTGGGGGGCCCCGGCCAGCGATGGTGGCGGCGATCCTGAGCTGCCCAGCTGCCGCTGCTGGCAGCCAGGGGCCTCCTGCAACTGGCAGCGGCAGAGGGACCCCGGAGCTGCTCAACGGCCACGGGGGGGAGCCCCCCCCCCACAGCTGCCCAGCCGCCGCCGCTGGCAGGGGAATGTTGGGAATCATTAAGAAAGGGATAGATACGACAGAAAATATATTGCCTCTATATAAATCCATGGAATGCCCACCTCCTGAATACTGCATGCCGATGTGGTTGCCCCATCTCAAAAAAGATATATTGGAATTGGAAAAGGTTCAGAAAAGGGCAACAAAAATATTAGAGTTATGGAATAGCTTCCATATGAGGGGAAATTAATAAGACTGGAACTTTTCAGCTTGGAAAAGAGACGACTAAGGGGGGATATGATAGAAGTCTATAAAATCCTGACTGGTGTGGAGAAAGTAAACAAGGAAGTGTTATTTACTCTTTCTCATAACACAAGAACTAGGGGGCACCAAATGAAATTAATAGGCAGCAGGTTTAAAACAAACTAAAGGACATATTTCTTCACACAACACAGAGTCAACCTGTGGAACTCTTTGCCAGAGGATGTTGTGAAAGCCAAGACCATAACAGGTTTCAAAAAAGAACTAGATAAATTCATGGAGGATAGGTCCATCAATGGCTATTCGCCAGGATGGGCAGGGATGGTGTCCCTAGCTTCTGTTTGCCAGAGGCTGGGAATGAGCGACAGGGAATGGATCACTTGATGATTACCTGTTCTGTTCATTTCCTTTGGGGCACCTGGCATTGACCGCTGTCGGAAAACATGGTACCAGGCTAGATGGAACTTTAGTCTGACCCAGTATGGCCCTTCTTATGTTCTATGGTCCTCTGACCTTTAAGTTTCATTTATTTTGACTTTTAAGATATGTGCATATAAATGTATTTGCATAATGAATAACAAGCTTGATAACCTCCACATTTGGAAAAAATGTTTTCTTTTTAGCTGGACCATCTATCCCTCCAGTAGTGGCATATCCAAAAAGAAGCCAGACTAGCACTACAGACAGTGACCTGAAAGAAGATGGAATTCAGACAAGGAAATCTAGCAGTAGTGCTGTTGGGGGACGAGGAATTGCTCCGGCTAGCCCCATGCTCGGAAATGCTAACAATCCAAATAAGGCTGATATTCCTGAACGTAAGAAAAGTTCGGCTGTCCCCAGTGTAAGTGGAAGCATTTATTTTTTTCAAGCATATGAACATGAAACACTTTAGGAGTAGGAGAATGTCACTCAACCCAATGGCCTGTCATTGGTTTTTGGTTTATTTGTTTTTTAATGCTTTTATCTTCATCTCACTTCATTCCCCAGGAGCAAATGTAAGTATCTCATATACTTATTTGTATACTGTTTGCTTCAGTCACCTGCCCAGGAACTTAATTCTTTTGCCTATTGCCATTTCTGAAATAGTTCATTAGGATAGGAACCAGAGGTACATTTTAAATAAATCCAAGACAAGAAAAGGAACTAAGAGGCTATCCTATGGAGCAGATAGTATGGGTCATGGGTGATCTCTGAAATCCCACCTGCTCTTTTGGGTTTCCTCCTCCCAAAAAAGGGATCCCTGCCACAACTTTATATCCCATATCCTTTTGTATGTACTGATAAAAAGGATCACCTGTAATTTGCACTAGGCATTCCTTAACACATTTTAAAAATGCAGTTATACGGATTACTCCATGGACTCCTGCCCTCTGCCCAGTAATTAACATATTACCAAATAGCTGTAGCTTTAAAAGCTTCTTCTCTCCCCTTTCTCCCCCCCCCCCCAAACAAAAAAAACTTATTTGAACTTAGTTTCAGCTTTGGGACTTGAGTCCTCTTAAAACGATCCTCTGATCTTTCTGCTGCAGTGCTTTGAGCTGATTAGTTTCAGTGAAACTCTCCCACAATAACTTCCAGATCCTTCAGCTGGTAAGTTACTAGGGAGCTGAGGTTATTCCTTCCTTCCGCACCTGTTATCTACCTTAGCTCAGTTCCCAGACCAGCTTGTCTCCAATCAACTGAAAGTTTTGCTTGATTGCCACCTTTATAACTAAGGTTGAAAAACAATATTCATAATAAGTCTGTTTCCACAAACTCAGACTTTCTGGAACATTCAGCTTCTGCACAGAAATCTTCCCTGCATTGTGAATTTTTTAAAATATCAACAAAATCTCTTCAGCCATTATCCAGCTTGGGATGGTATGTTTCTTTAAAGATGCCATCCTGGCAAGATTATTGCACTTGGATTCCATGGTCGCAATATAAAAAATGGCAGAATTTCCCTAATTCAAACCTTTTTAGTCCTCTGAGGCCAAAAAGTAGCTCGACAGAAGGCCTTCAACCTCTCTTATTGGTTGTGTACCAGCAGCAGCCACTACTTCCAGTTCCTGCAACCTTCCAGCCAAGTCATTCTCAGCTACAGGCTGGCAATGAACTCCTCCTGTAAGAAGGATCCCCTCCCTCTGCCTTCTCTTCAGCTGTGGTTCATACATCTGCTCTGACAGTGCTATGTGTATTCTTTTCTGACCCCCACCCCCTTCCTTCTGATCAGTGTTAAACTTCCTGTTAATTGTTTCTCTCTCTCTCTCTCGGCGTTCTGGGTTGTCTGGTCCCAGAGTGTTAGGGCCTTTAAATTGGTTTTGTCCTACCGCTGGCCTTCACTCCAGTAATCTTTTTTTTTTTGGTTTGGCAGTAGTATGTTTTTGCTCCACACTCAGTATTATTGCCCCCTTTTTTTTTTTCCAGCCCTTTTGCATTATAGTCTCAGTGCTTCATTCTTTGATATTTTGGCTTGCTCTGTTACACCAGCTAGATCCTGACATCAGTGGCTTTATTCCAGTGGTTTCTAGTTTTACATTGTAATTGAAATCAAAATTTGGGCTATAGTGACAGATCCATGGAATACCTGCTTTGTTAATGGTAAAAGCTTTTTACCGACTTGCACACTGAATCGAACAGTGGCACTAATATAATCAGAAACGGCATTATAACACCACACAAAAGGGTGGAGTTATAGTTCCTGGTTCTTTTAACATTTAACCATATAAACTTAACAGGGTTTCCAATGCGAGTTCTTGTGTAGTCATGTTTAGAGTTCATTGTTATAACTGGTGTGTATAGGAAGCTGTTACTTCCCCCACAGTTCAGGAATTGGCTAGAAAATTTAAGGGTTGTGGTAGTTGGCATGCAGCCAGAAGAAAGTGAGTTGTCTTGTGCTGACCTACCACTCTGAGTGCAAAAAATCCTTCAGGTACAGAAGTTCCATCCTGCCTCACTGATTGCATAAAGCCTAAAATTGATAATTCCTTGAGATAACTTCTGAGAAGCAGAATTACTAGTAACTTCTCCTTTCTTTTTTTTTTTTTTTTTAAATTTATCCACTTTTTTTATACAAAGCTACTGCAAAATGGCAGAACTTTGAAACTTGGTCTGGGCATAGTTCTTGTTGAAGACTAATGTATGATTTTGAAAAAGTCTAACTCTTCTTTAACTGTTAGAACCATTAAACAATTGCATACTAAGCTTGTACAGCAGAATATTAAGTCTGCAAGTATACACTTCAAGGCAAATGTTGTGCATGTGTGTGCAGCTCATTAGTGTGTGTGGGTTTAGGGAACATAGAAGTTGTGCTTCTAAAGGTGGCTGTGCGTGCAGGCCCCTGCAAGTCAGATAGCTCTGCAAACTGAACAGTTGTGCAGTAAGAATCAGATTAGATCCACTAGCAAAATACTTGTCAAATTTATTTTGCTTTAAAAAGTTGCTGGAAACTAATATGTAGTCTGCTCAATTAAAATCTAAAAACATAAGGCTTTAGCAGCAACATAATTCTGCCATATTACTCATGCATACTATTCATGGATTGTTTGATATTTCCAAACGTATACCTTATTGCTGTCTCCCAACCTAAAGGGCCTTCAGAATAGTTCAGGATGGCAGGTCAGAGGAAGGCAATTATAGTGGGTGAAAGAGGCTTCAGGACCCTAGCTCTTACAGACTTTCTGCAAATGTGTTATGACATCTTTAGAAGAACCAGCAAGTGACTCCTTGAAAGCCACTCACCTTTCCTCCTTCCTCTGGTTGTCTCTCCTAATGTAGCTGACTGCACATGCAGCTAACTCGTCCAATGCAGCTGCAGCAGCCTGCCAGCCCAAGCTTCTCTTCAGTATGCTCATGGTGCTCAGCTCAGCATTTGATGGCATCAGAGGATGCTCCTTATTCCCAGAAACATGTAGCCACCACCTTCAAGTGTACTCTGCAAAGTCCCACTCATGGGATGCATTCTGGTAGCAGTGCCTGTTAGAGAGCTCACTCACCCCTCCTGCTCCCCCCTGCATTCCTCTGTGTTCTCCGGATGTGCCTATAAAAGGGGGTGTGCTCTCTGCCACCTCAACTCTATCCAGCTGTGACAGCAGACAGATGTGAACTTCTGTGGATCCACGGAACCTGAATTTTCTCTCTTGAAGAATACAGTGTCTTAGCTTAGTGTAAAAAGCAACAGAGGGTCTTGTGGCACCTTTAAGACTAACAGAAGTATTGGGAGCATAAGCATTCGTGGGTAAGAACCTCACTTCTTCAGATGCAAGTAATGGAAATTTCCAGAGGCAGGTATAAATAATCCATACTGATTTATACCTGCCTCTGGAAATTTCCATTACTTGCATCTGAAGGAGTGAGGTTCTTACCCACGAAAGCTTATGCTCCCAATACTTCTGTTAGTCTTAAAGGTGCCACAGGACCCTCTGTTGCTTTTTACAGATTCAGACTAACACGGCTACCTCTCTGATACTTAGCTTAGTGTGTGTTTGTTTAGTTTTAAGTTAAGCTTAGGGTATGTCTCACTTAACGTGCTGCAACCGCACCACTGTTGTGCTCAGACAGAGAAAAGCTAGAAAAAGGGGGTGGACAGGCTCAGCTATCATTCTATCACATAGTGGCTCCAAAAAAAAAAAAAAAAAATTGGGAACCAACAAGTTAATAAATTGTGCCATAAGATGTACATCATACCATATGCAGGGCGGAGTTGCCAAGTTAATAGTGCGGTTACAACCTTTTGTATTGCCTGGCAAGTTTAATGCATTGTTAAGGTTGCATAGTTAACGGTTTTCATTTTTGTATGCATGTATGTGTAAAATATATTGGCAGATTCCTGCAGTCTTTATACAGACAAACTCCCACTGAAGTCAGTATATGTTACAAGTGAAAGCTCTGTAGAAAGCTTGACCCAAATTCTATAGCAAGGCCTCTGGTTTCTTAGCAATCCAGGACAGCAGACTAGAGGTTTTCTGGCAGCTTCAGATAAATTAAAAATAGTTTCATACTGAATTAAATATGAAAATGAATAATACAATTAGTTTATAATTTGCTGTTGCTTAATTTGGTGTTAAATTCAACTTTTTACACTTCCCCTCCATTTTTATCTTTCACCATGTCATGGATTTTTCTGTCTTCAGCTGGCTGTTTTGCCTGCAATGTTCAGTAAGTTAATGCAGTGTTAACTTTTAAGCCTAATAATAATAAACATTAACACCCCATTCAAATGAATGATGACTGTTCATATTTAGAACAGTTATTTCAGCTATTGGCAGACTCGAGCACATGACCCTGCATCAGCTTATAACCAGTTCAAGTTTTTAAAGTTTGCAACAGCAAGTGCTAGACATTTCTTTTAAATGACACCTTGGATTCAAGTACAGTTCTGAAGAAAGAAATGGATTTTTGATATATTCTGCAGCTGTGGAATTGTGGGGAATTTGGAACCTGATTATAAACTGATATGTGTCGGAACTTTGCCTGAGAGAGGACTGCAGGGAGCTGTTTCATATATATTGAATAACAGGTTTTTTACTGACCCCTCTTGGAACCTTTTTTCGACTTGAAAAGTTTGTCAATGGCTACGCTTTGCCTTTTTTCTCCTACGCCCATTTTTCCTCCATATCTTTTTACCCTTTATTCCATTGCACACTACTGTAGCCATTCGTTTTTATGCGGAACCTTATCTCAAATTCTTTTTAAAAATGCATAGAGTTTCCCTTGTCTATCACAGCAGTAATTCTTCAAAGAACTACAATGGGTTAGTTAAGTCCTCTTCCTAAATTCTTACTGGCAATCTGTAATTGACAGGGGCTTATCCATGTGTTCACTGATAACATCCCTTAAACTGGTTTCCAAGATTTTTCCCGGCAGTGGATGTTTAAACTCAGTAACCTCTCTTGTGTCAAGCTTTGTCCCTCAATCCTTTTTAAAAACAAAGCACAGTAATGGATTTATTTTCCATTTTCCAATCCTGTGGAATTTATCTGAAATCCAGTGAACTGGAATGAGAAGGGGGGAGTCAAAGATTCACCAGTTTGCTTGCTTGCTTCCTCTAAAACCCCTGAGTGCATGTTTATCTGGATCTCGTGCTTTTTCTACATTAAGTGCATCTAACTCTTTTTTATATAATTCTGTTATCTGTGCACTACCTAGCTCCTCAGTCGTTCCTGGAAAATTGACCGCCAAGTTGGGCATATCTCCACCCTCTTCCTCTGCAAAGACAGAGGCAAAGTAATTAATTCTATTCTTTATCCCCCTCTAAGGTCTCCATTTTCATTTTAAGTGGCCCTGTGGTTCTCTTGTCCTCTGTCTAATGTTTGTGTGTATATTTATATTTGAAAAAATGTCTTAACTGAGATTTTTCTGGAATTTGCCTTTTTTATTTTAATTGTTCATTATTGGTTTCAAAACTTTAGATTTCTTTATGGCATTAGTATTTTTAAGAGCCTTTATTTATTTACTTCCCCATTGTACTTAGCCACATGTGTTTGTTTCTGTTAGATCTTTGCTTTTCCTGTCAATTAACTTGTTAGGGGCTTGATTCAGTTTCAGAAAATGTTTTAAGAAAAAATAATAATTTCCACATTCTAAAAGTCATAAAGTATCTTTCAAGAATATCTGGTAAAGGAACTACAGATCTAGATTAACTTCCATAAAATCCTCATTTTTATTTACATAAATAGTTGAGGGCATTTGTGATTAAAGTTAAGTTTACTCTGTTAACTCTTGTTGAATAGTCAAAATAAAATGAAATTGTGTTTCAAACAGTTCATTCATCTTAGCACTTTCTTAGAAAGACCAGCACAGTCACCATAACTAAAGGGTATTTCTGTTTATCTTATCTAATTTGGAAACAAATCAATGTAAGGCTTTTACTATAAGCTGTAGAACAAATTATAGCATAAATTTAAGGAAAATAAGGTCTCAACCACATATTGTTGATACTGATTTTGCCGTGAGTCTTGCACAAACTTTTTGGGTGGATTAATGCACATTGTATCTTTAATTGTAGAATAATACCGCACCTGGAGCAATGACACGCCGCAATACATACGTTTGTAGCGAGAGAACCACTGCAGATAGACATTCAGTAATCCAAAATGGCAAGGAGAACAGGTATGAAATTTCTCAAAGAAAAATTTGCTGTACTTGTTTTCTCATGCTTCGAAAAAGTTGTTGTATATGATTCAAAATGAAGCAATATCACTAAGTGTTACATTTTTCTCTTAAAGGTAAGTACGAATCCCCAGCTCGTGGATACTTGCAAGTACTTGTTTCTGCAGTATGTAGACCTGAAGTATTCTACTAAGATTCCCAAAATTTGTAGATACTAACTTATGGACCATGATCATATGTTCTGTGGTTGGATAGCCTATGTACACAGGTTAAAATTGAATCATTCAGTCATTCTTCTGGATATTTGGACAAGGAATGCTCTGTTTCAGTAAAAGATTTTTGGTTTTAAAAAATTAAAGAAAGGCATCTGTTTGTATTAGAGGTCAAATTAAAACACCTGAAAATGTTGGTGTGTTTCTTTCTGTACATATTCCACTCTATGCTGTACTCATTATGATATTGGAGTGTCATACTTTTAGAATATTGCTGATTTATTCTAGAAAAACTGCCTTCTGCCTGACCAGATAACAGTGTGAGGCCTGTTACTATACTGTAGAGTTTATAGGCTCAGGTATCCCTTCATCATGTCACCCCTGAAACATTAAAATTTAACATAATCCTACCCTGTCGGGTAGAAGGGGGCAAAGGAAGAGGAACATATCAATGTGAGCATCCCCTTCACTCACAGAGGCAGCTTGTCAAGTAGGATATTTAGAGTGCATGTGATTTCTTTATTGGCTGGAGTGCTAGTCAAGAACCCACCCCAGTCCCCCATTACTGTGCTGCCTGGAGATTTACTGGTTCCAGAAACTGCCAAGCAGGGAGTTAATTTTGTTTTTCTGTCAGGAATTGGGGTGAATTTTAACTACAACTAGTTGAATTTGAAGTCTGCACCAGTTAGTTACAGTTGTATGGTTCTGCCCTCCAGGTGGCTACAATCTGTGGCAAGTTGTTGAACAAATGGGACTGTAAAGAAGCAAAGCTCCTCTCTGAGGGCATGTCTACGCTACAATCTTAAGTTAACCTTTGTTAGTATCCACAGTAGTTACTGCAGTTTTTCATGCCCACACTAACCTTCTGTCGACAGTGCGCATCCTCACAAGGAGCACTTCGTTACACTGACTTAAGAGCAGCAGTATGGGGGCTGAGAGCCTGGGCTCTCAGCTCGGCGCACAGCTCTCTGCTGGGAGCCCGGCTGCCCCTCTGGACACCTCCGGGCTCCCAGCTGCCTAGAGCCCGGGGGGCAGCAGGGCTCCTAGCCAAAAGCAAGGAACCTACCAACCTTTCTTGTCAATTTTACAGCTCCAGCAGGATCTGTGAAATTGACATGAATGACAGCCAATGTAAGTAACGCAGTGTCTGCTGGAGGGTGTGTCACCCTAACTACACAGACCTACACCTCTCATGGAGGTGGTGTTATGTCAGTATAGTAGGGCACTTACATAGGCGGGAGCAAGGCTGTAGCGTAGACACTGACATAATTAGGTCGTTGTAAGCTGCCTTACGTCAACCTAACTCTGGAGTGTAGACCAGGCCTGAGTGAGGGTTTAGAATTTCATATGCAAATACGGGCCTTCTCCCTAAACTAAGGGAATGCTAAGTTTGAGGGGAGTTACATTATGCAGGAGATTTGGGGTTACCAGTCAAATCAATGGTGATAATTTTTTTGCTGGAAGTCTGGGAAAAAAACAAAAAGCTCCCATCCCTCCATTGATCCCTATTTTGGGATCTCTCTGGCAGAGAAAGGGAACAGGCGTTTGCCCCTACACCCTCATGCTGCAGTCACTGTGTGAAATTGCCTTCATTTCACAAAGGGTATGGTTTTGCCTCCTGCTTTCTTCTCCAGCAGCATGTAAAGGAAGAGAGGGACTGAGTTGGACATGCTGAATGAAGGTTCGACATCACCTCCACTGGTGTCTGGGATAAGGGACATGACTCTGACCTTTGTCTCCTCCCACTGGTCTTCAGCAAGCCTGGCAGAAATTAGGGAGAATTAAAACCTAAGTCTAAATTGACTCTGCACACTTCTCTCTTCCCCCTGCCAACCTGGCCAACTAGGTCTGTAATTGACTAGTATGCAAATTACAGCCCTATTAAATAGTGGTGTCTGTCTCTCTCTCATCCTCCAATGACTAGTCCTTGTTAATATTACTAAGTCTTTGCTTGGGTTAAGGAAAGGGATGGAAAACCTTTTTAATTTAAGATATGTTAATGTGTTTTTTCTGTCCAAGTTATTTTTAAACATGATGCTGCATGCAACCACAATGATGTCCAAAAGGTATAGTTCTGAACAGTTGCTGTACCACTTTAGAGAGATGCCACCTGGTGTCAATCCAAAGACATCTTTTCACTCACCTCGCACACAAACTGCTTGGTTATATTCTGCATTTATTAATCTTGATCTTAAAACCACTTTCCTGATAATTCAGTAACTTCAGCATTTTAATAGCTCTTAGGTAAACAATAGTCATTAGAAATATTTATACAATGCATGTGAAAATGTGTCCCTTTGTACCATTGTTTGTTAGAGCTCATTACTTGCTTAGCTGGGTAGTCTGCTTGGTTTCTTTTATAATCAGTCTTTAAATTAGCACTCTGTTTTGCAGCATCTTCTGGTCTACGAGGCCTTAAATTGAAATAAACTTCCGGGCTTAAGAGAGTTCAGTGTTATCTTCTTGGTCTTCTGCTGGGAGCAGCTTCATTCTGTATTGCTGAGAAATTGCTCCTTTGTCTTTTCTGGCCTTGACTTTCTCAGTATTACACCATGCTTCAATAGACTTCATTTTGTCCAAAGTCAGTGCTGTACAGTACATAGCAATAAATAAACCAGGGTGTTGGCCCCACTGACCTTCCTAGACACATGTGTTATATTCTGCAACTTATCTTCACTTTCAAAAATGCTGAACAGTCCTGCCTTCTGCAGCTGTCAGCAGGGAGGGAAATTTCTATTCTTGATCAGAGTGTAATGCAAGTAGTAAAACTGTTCCAAACTTCAAGTTTGTTAGGACATACTTTGTGTCCTCATTAAGGCATTTATACTGTTGTCAGACATTTCACATTAACTTTTACCACTTTTTACTTTTGATTAAAACATGTTGGACTTGCTGTTATGGAGTCTATCTTTTGATATAACAACTTCATTATTAGGTTCCATAAATATGCAGGTACCACGGTAACTAGCAAGATCAATGTGTTAATTAAAAATATTAAAGTTTGACAGAATAAAACACAGCATTATTAAGTTTGTCTTTATAACTAGAAATTCCTGGTTGTGATTCAGTGGATTTCACTATTTGTGCATGTAGCGGTACGTCTTAGATTGGCACAATCTGAAAATTTGCTGCAGAGGGTTATAGTCAAATCTCAATATACTTGGTTGCTCATAGTTGGACATAAGCTGAACAGATTGCAGTAAGTGCAGTATTGATTGGATCTAGAATAAATGCTGCTTTTTCAGTTGTTTTTTTATCTCTCCAATACTCTTATCTCTGAACTCTATGAAAGATAAAACTCTAGAAAGATCTGTGGTGTTTTTCTTAGATGTGGATTCTGAAGTAGAAACCTAGTTTGTTTGAATTCAGGGTTTCTTTAGAAATGAGTTTTTTGTGGCTTTCAAATTGCACTTCTCTGTGATAGCAATTATTGTAAGGGAGAACTGCTCTAAAGAACATTTCAGCTAAGATTTTAGGTTTACTATAATTGAGGATGTTGAGAATAGTGACCAACTGAACACCTGAAGAGCTCTTCTAATGTCAGGAGAGAACACATATATATATATATATATATATATA